GCACCAAAACCTAATGATCCAAATGCACCAAAACCTAATGATCCAAATGCACCAAAACCTAATGATCCAAATGCACCAAAACCTAATGATCCAAATGCACCAAAACCTAATGATCCAAATGCACCAAAACCTAATGATCCAAATGCACCAAAACCTAATGATCCAAATGCACCAAAACCTAATGATCCAAATGCACCAAAACCTAATGATCCAAATGCACCTAATGATCCAAACGCACCAAAACCCAATGATCCAAATGCACCAAAACCTAATGATCCAAATGCACCAAAACCTAATGATCCAAATGCACCTAAACCTAATGATCCAAATGCACCTAATGATCCAAATGCACCAAAACCTAATGACCCACCAAAACCTGACCCACCAAAGCCTGATGATCCAAATGCACCAAAACCTAATGATCCAAATGCACCAAAACCTAATGATCCAAATGCACCAAAATCTGATGACCCAAATGCACCAAAATCTGATGGTAAGTCTTTTTTTGTTGAAAAGAAGGACATACATATATAAATAGAATATATTGATGGTTGTATATCTAGATAGATAGATAGTTTTTTAAAAATATAAATATGATATATATAGTTATTAGCATTACTGCTTCTGATCTACCAGACACTAATACAGTTAGTAGTGATCCAGCAACAGATACTGTAGTAACTGGGCCTAATACACAAAATCCAACAGATACAAATACCAAAGTAAATACTTTAGTAGTAATCCTGTAATTAACACTGACATACAAATAGCTTTAACTCCTACTAGCAATACAAATAGTCCAGTGATGGCCCAGTTGTTACTACAGTTGCTACTGATAATTTAAGTTCAACTAGCTCAACTGGGTTTAATTTTGATCCAAATGCCACTGGTATATTCAAAAAGAGAAACACACGCATATATATATTCAAAAGGAGATAATAATGATTATTGATGAAAATAAATTTTATTTATTAAAATTTATTAAAATATATTAAAATATGATTTTTCTTTTTACTAAATAGACACCAATAAACCTACTGATCCACCACCAGGTAATTCTTTTCTACAATTTATATTTATATAACTTTTTTCTTTTCTTTTTTACAGAATTAATATATTTATATTATATAATTAATTTAATTAATTTAATTAGTTACTAGTAAAACTACTAAGACATATCCACCTGGACAAGAACCATGTGAAAAAGCTGATGATCCAAGATGTGAACGTAAATCAACAGAGTAAGTCTTAAATTTGATATTTCTATTTTTTTTTAATTTTAAAAAATTAATCAATCAATTTATTGTGAAAAAAAAATAGTCCAACGGTGGTTAGTACATCAGAAGAAAATGAAGTAATTACAGATCCACCAAAACCAAATAAAGCTACAACATCACAAACAGACTCAAGCCATAAAAAATCAACCGTAACACAATTCACAACTTACACCACTACGGAAACATCATATTTCCCAGGGTACACCACTTATACCTCTTCAACAGGGACCAATGGACAATTAACAACATATGCAACTTACATTCCACCAAGTACTGTTGTGGTGGTCAAGAAAGTTACTTCAGCAACTGTAGCAGAGATTCAAGAAAGTGATCCTGTTTCAGCTGGATATCTTGATCTGGAACTCTCCCTTTATAATTTATACAGTGTTGCTACATCATTATTTGTTATTTCTGTAACAATGCTTTATTTAATTGTTGCTTAATTAATAATAGTATTAATTTCTCTTTGTAAAAATAATAATTCATAGAATTAATAATTTTTAATTGTACATCTATTTATAGATCAAATATCACATTATATTATATTTTTTAAAAAATTAAAATATTATTCAAGTAATCTATATCTATAAATCCGCGAATAAATCAGAGAGTCATACATAGTGATCAGCGGACAAAAAAAAGACCAATCGAGCACAAGTATAGGACATTCAGCATGGTATAACTCTTGCAGAACGTATGGTATGGTTGTATACCATACCATACCAATACTTAAATCTAACATGCTTCCCTTCACATTCCCCAAAAAATGATTTAAAATAAAATTGTGTATGACTTAGTATGGAAAAATATGGGCCATACCATACCATATGCAAAAGTTATACCATACTGAATCTCTCTCTACCGATCGAGCACTTTTTCATGAAGAGTTGTACTATGCTTTTGTTCCACTATATAAATTTTTTTGCAATTACAATAAAATGTGCCTCAGAGAACATATTGTCGTTTTTTAAGTAAAAAAAAAGTTTACTTTAGCAGCTGTGGATTTTTAAGAAGTTTTCATATTAATATATTTATTTTTGTCTTTAAAAACAAGAAAAAAATTTTTTTAGTTATAAATTTCAATTTGATTTTGACTCAAAGACAAACGCTACTACTCATACAACAAAGCTGTTGTTTTTTTTATACGAAAAAGAAATTTTATTTTTTATCTAAGAATGGAAAGTATGATTTTATACCATTAATGTTATTATTGGGAGAATGATATTACTTACTATTACTATTACTATTACATGGCGAAATCGAAATTCGAAAGATAAATTTTTTTGCTTATAGTTTATTCATATCTTTAAATAATAATAATCCTAGAACCAAAATCTTCAAAGAAACCTGGAACATACATGATGGCCGGAACTTTCGAAATCAAGGGATTAATCCGATTTGAAATTCTAATAGTAATTTAAAATTCCAAAATAAAAATCATTCGATTTCTTTTGATTTTGATTATTATTAGATAAACTTCTTGTTCCTAAAGAATTGGAAGTTGTCAAAGAACCTGTTTCATCCAAAAAATCATCATGTAAGGTAAAATTGTTTTATTTAGATAGGTTGATTTGGACATCTATTCGTTAAATGTTCTCTGCATCAAATCTGGACTTCCTTTTGTTCCATTATCATTACAATATATACAAGTGGAATCTTACTTTCCAGAATATATTTATTAAAATGCGTCCAAACATTGTCAGGAGGTCTTTCAGAACTCTTAGAATAAAGACTTTGAGAATCAGAATTGCTTGAGATAATTCAAAAGAAATTTGAATCAGGATTTCGATTTTCGACTTCGATTTCGGATTATTCATCGATTATGGGTATTGATTGACTGAGTACTCAAACATCAGGACCACCATCGATTTCAATTTCGAATTTTGAAAATTTTAATTGGTTGAAATCGAAATCGGAATAAACCTATTTCGCCATCATAATAAATAAATTTTTTGAGCATGTATATATATTAATATTATTTTATCATCCGTGATTCAATCATCCTTCTTATTGCATGTGTTAATACGATGCAAACTGGCAGACTTCAACAAAGCGGACATTATGTCACAAAGATCAATGTAATATAAGAGTCTGAAACCAATTGGAGAATTTCAAATCAATTGCAGACATCAACTTTAATTATGATCCCAGCAATAGAAAGTTTTTTTATTTAATCTACTTTCCTTTTTGAGACGCTTGCTCATACTCATTGATCCACCATCCATTGTTACTAACTGAGCCATTAAAAAAATGTCCTGCTCTAGAGAGAAAAGATTCACGTAATTCAGCAAACTTTTGGAAGTTTAGTTGAGCAGCCGCAAGCACAACCTGCTTTATTGCCTTTTCATATTTATTCATATACATGTAACCTAGTGATGGTGGCCGAAACTAACCCATAGTTTAAGCATTTAGGCCATTTTGTTTAGGCCTAATTTTGCCCATGAAAGTTTTTTGGTGGAATTAACGAGATTCCTAATAGACGAAATCCAAGCGGAAAATTATTTGGTTTCCGACCAAAAAAAAGATTTTTTTTGAAAAAAATTGTTTATTACAAACGAATTGTTCGTAAAGAAATAATTTTATACTAACTTTTCTGCCTCTACTCTCAAGCAAGACTCAGAGTTATAATATAGAAATATTTAATACTGATTAATTAATTGATTGATTGATAAAAAGTCCACTTGTCAAAAGTGACATTATTTTATAATAAAAATAAAAATAAAATAAGAGACCGGAACACATGCCCGACATACGATTGGACGGCACTTCGATAAACGTAAGTTTGACAAATTAACAAATTGGCCAGTTTAAAAGTTTCGCCGCAGTTTAGGTAATTTTCAAGTTTCATCCCTAATTTTTGTAGATTTGCTAAAATAATTTCGGCACCACCATTAATATGAACATATCAACCAATATCAATTGTCAAAACGAATTCCCTATAGCATAATTGGCACTGGACACATCCAAGTCCAATGCACATTGGACATATCAACGGACATCATATGACTGTGACATAAATTTGTAAAAAAAACAAAAAATTTTTAATTAACGGAAAATATTAAAATAAAAATTTTATTTTTATTATCTAAAGTTTTGCATAAGGTGATGCAGGAAGTTCCTTTACAAATAAACTACTTAAATTTCATTTTGCACTGTTGTCATCTGCAGGAAGCAAAGGATTGATCAACATCAACATCAATACCAGCATCTAAAAAACACTTTCCATTTAAGATTGTTTGGTTTAGAATATCCTCACATTGATCACCATATTCAAACCTAAAATGTGAACAATTTCTAAGGTGTATTAGTAAACTTGTTAGTAATTGGACCTTAATAACCAAACATATTTTTACATGAATTGATCATTGGACATAGAAGTCCATTGTCCATTGCCAATAAAGCTGCACAAAAATCACCCCTGAATGGACAAGTTGGGTATACATGTCTAATGGTCCAATGAAAAGTCATTGGACATTTCCCATTTCTAACTCTCCCTATAGCAAGATTATATTGATAGCTAGAAAGATTCATATCAACAAAGTTATTTTTAAGAGGTTGGCCGGAGTATGGTGAAAGTTTTATATGAAAATTATCATCAAGAGGTTGTTCAGAAGATTTATACCAAAAGGTTCAGAATACAACTATTATTATAATGGTTAGTATCGAGCTCCATATTGTTTTCTGGAAATTTTATAAATGAGTCCCAATCAATAATTAGCATTATCCATTACTAAGAAAGGTTTTTCACATGCTAGATAATAATAATAATAATAATAATAATAATAATATTAATAATAATAATCATAATAATAATAATAATGCTAACCCGTTACAACCTGAAAATCTTTTAATTAACAGATAAGGTTTTAATGGATCGTAACATTAATATAGAATTAATCTTTATCTTTTCAAGTTTTCTTTGAAAAATTGAAATTGTGTTAAAAAACCAATTGACTACTTTGAATATAAGAGGATATAAACCATTCTGGGTAGACTTTAACCTAATTCGATGAAAAAAAAAACTTAAAATGTATTGATACTATGCACTGGACGTACAACCAATGCCTGGCCACAATTAATCATAAAAAACAAATAGAAATATTTATACAAAAAAATTATAAAGATTGAGTATCACACCTTATGACATGACATTAGTGATGCAGCGATAATTGACCTTTTAAAAATTACAAGTCAAATATATTGCTTTAAAAGGATAAATTTTAATTGAAATTCAGATCTAAAAAGGATAAATTACCATTCTATCATGAGAATGGGGAGAAATCGTGGTCATTATTCATTTCTCAAAGACATTGAAGCAAGTGAATAAATACCTGAATAAATTATGACCTTCATCTCACCATGAATCGTCTTGGTGAAATTAAGGTTAATAGTCAAGTTCCTAAATTTTCATGGTTAAAGAGAATAGAGGCATGGCATCATTTCTCTTGATCCAGCAGTGAGAACTTTCGTGACCGGATATAACCCAAGTGGAGAGGTTATATAATGAGGAAAAGGGGATATTAATAGAACACATTGCTTGTGATTGCATTATGATATAATCCAATGTGAAAAGGATTCTATTCATAGCAGAGCAAATAAAAATAAGTGTAGGAAGTAAAAGCTCCATTGGTGCATGCTTCGGATCCACAATAAAATTTGTAATCTTGTGAATGAATGTCATTTGAAGTTTAGCAGGATTATTGTGCAAAAACCGCCATGTAATTTTGCTCTCTAAGTTTAAAATAAAGACATGGTTAAAAAAGCAGTTCTAGAAAATACACTCTAAACTGCAAGACAAATGTTGACCTGGTCACATTACCATTTTTATTCCACAAATTCCACAAGTACCCTTGGTGCGAGGTTATCATCTGCATTGAAAAACACACTAGAAAAACATGCAGATGTTGTGGGGTCATCTGGGTGGTTTAAAGATCTTCAACTGTACATCTTGCAAATCCAGCATTAATAGAAATGTAAATGGAGCTTGTAATATATTTTTGAGGTATATTACAGTCTGGGATATTATGGATTCTATAATAATTTTCCGTTGTTATGTATCTTGTAATTTCAAACAAGAAATTCTGGTTGTAGATAATAAAAGTCATATTTTAATAATTCCCAAAGAATTCCAAGACTTCAAAGGTAAACGAGAGCCAAAAATGAGGAATTTTGTTAAAAACCTTGTAACTTTATATAAAAATTCTTATTAATAATTTAAATAATAACCATAAGAAGAATATATAGAATAAAAGTTTTAGTTTCAGGTTCAAGATCTTTTCACAATAAGTTCTGGATCTAAAATGTATTAATTTAAAAAAGAATGATTTTGTTAACTAACTTTATAAAATTCCCTATTGATAGTAACCATAGAAATATATAACAAACTTCTAGTTTCAGACAGTTGCCTATCAATGCATATGCCTCGAGTTTGCTTTTATTCGATAATTTACTTATATATATATATATATATACAGTTCACTCCCTATAACGGCCTTTTATATAACGATTTTCGCTCTATAACGAACTGAGAATTAAATCAACTATTTAAAATCTTACTTGACGGATTTCTTAATTAAATTTTCTATGGTCTATCTCGGAAAATTATCTTATTATTAATGGTTTGCAAATCTTTTTCAAATTTAAAAACTTACGATTTAGAAAACTGCATGATGTGTTTTTTCGATATAAGTGGGAGCTCATTATAACCTATTTTTAGTAACGTGCGATTTAATTATTTCATCCAATAATAATTTTTGTTAATAATTTGGCAAATTATTTATTCATAATAAAATATTCAAAGATTTTATTTGATGATTTAGAAAAAAGAACATGTTTATATTGTAAATAATACATTTATAGTTATATCATTGATTAAAAGAAAATTGATTTTGATTCGCATAAACAATCAGCTTTCTTAATATAAGATAAAGAAGCCTTGTATCACATGATGATGATCAGCAAATTTCCTATAACGGACTTTTTTTACTGACTGTATAGAAAGAGTGAACTGTATTTAATGAGTAAAATGATTATGGAAAAATTATATTATCTATCAATAAAAACATGTAGTACTAAATTACTACTTTTATTTGTATCCAATCGCCATAGTGACCGATTAGGTGTTTCTGATATTTTGCATTTAATATTAATGCAATGTAATCTATAATCGTTTGCATTACTGATGTTATTGTTTATAATACAAAAAAAAACAAACCATAATTTGATTTATTTCCTTATTAAATATGTGGATTTTTTTTGTGTTAATGCTGGGCGATGTTTATTGTTATTATTATCAATCAACCCAAATATCTTATTGTTTAAATTTGTTCGGATTTATTTGTAACAAATTCACAATGAATTTATTAATTAGATTTTATCTTTGGGATTTCAATCACCAATAAAAATATCGCAAACTTCCATCAAACAACAACAATAATAATCATAACAATAACCAATTAGTTTATTGCAATGAAATCTCAATTTTTATATTTGAAAATAAATTGCGAATTTCATTTATTTGTTTAAATTTTTTTTGTTCTAGCCAAAATCTTGTTTGTTACATTTCAAAAAGGGTGCTAAAAATGTTTTTAATAAAAAAAAAAAAGTTCACAAATATACATGACCCCCATTGTTTACCAATGCAAAATCGTATGATGGCAGATTTTTTGTTATGTAGTACAAGCAATTCAAACAAAATTATTATAATTATATATGACGAATTTTCAATTAGTGGCGTCTGCTGTGTAACTGGGCATTTTCGAAGGAAAAAAAATAAAGTCCAGACCCTTTCTTGTTCAATCTAATGTATTACCAGCAGGTTATTCACATACACACAATTATTCTTATCTTTAAATTATAAATAAATCAAATCAAGCTAAATTATTATTATTATTTTTCAAGTTCAATTATGAAACTGACAGGTTGAAATCCGATAAATCAAAAATTACTAATTTGATATATCATTATTAAAATCTTTATTGTTTATATTAGGAAACACAAAATATAAATGGACAACTAACCATGTAGGTCGACTTACATGACATAATTAATGCTGAATTGAAGCCATCATATATTCCTTGGATTGTGAGATGATGAATATCATTGTCATCACGTGATCACATTATAATCCAAATGTATTTTTAGTTGTATTTAATTTCATATATATAATAAATTGACCGCTGCATGTTCTGAATGGTGAATAGTTTAGTTAGTGGCGAACTTGTTTGTGATATTGAGTCTGATAGATCTATAAAACCTTCTACTTTTTATTCATATTTTATTTATACACATCTATACATATTTATGTGTTTATTTACACATGTTTATGAATTTAATTTAACTCTATGTACAGCGTACATCGATGCTTATTGTCTTCGACATAAAAGATTGTTGATAAAAGACTAGGCGCAAGTAATAACTAAAATTTTGCCGTGTCACCGCCTCTTTCCAAATTTGCAAATTAAATTCTGCCAATTAACAATTTTTAGTGTTGGTATGCGTTGCTTCCCATTCTGAAAAGAGGTTCTTTGTATAGTCGAGGACGTAAAAGATGTATAATAAATTATTAATAAACTATTAATAGATTAGCCTTTATACTAATCATCGTTTATTAAATTAATTACAAGAAGAACCGTAATTAGAAATCCTGTGAAAAGAAAAGGCATACTCGGAAAATTCGATTAGAAAATTCGATAATAATAATTATCATTACACCATTATTATTATTATTATTATTATTATTGAAATAATATAATTGGAGCAAAGTGTATTAAGTCAATAACTTGTAAATTTAATAGAGAATGTGTGGATTAAGAATAATTATGGTAAGAGGGGAATCATATATTAAAAGATAGCACTAGAGAAATTATTGTAATTTTATAATGAAAATATAAATATCATTATAAATGTTAAAAAACTAGATTAACTATTAATAGGGCCCCCGAAAACTTCATAGATTGATCCTAAGGTTTGCGATAACATTAGAAAAAACAACATAACTTGACCATAATATATTAAAAATTTTGAAACTGTCTACTGTAACGAAATTAAATTTACCGATCAATTAATTTACTGATCAACTGATTGTAATGATTCACAATTTATAATGTTTTAATGATTTTTTTTAATATAAAAGATTTACTATACATATATGAAGTATTGGTTTTTGTTTTTTTGAATGAAAAAATTTTGTTGCACAAATTTTTGGTCACCAATAAATAGTTGACTACTAATAGATTTGACCCTATTAAACCAAACTAATGACCCTATTAATGATTGTTACATTTGTAAATTATTAATATTAAATTATAAATAATTTGACCCTATTATAATTACCGGAACCCTCTTTTAATAAAATAATTAAAAAAGTTGGGATTAGATGAATTAATAATAAAGAAGGTATTGGTTGATGTGAGCCACATTAATGTTAGCATATCAATGTTCCAGATAATATATAAAATTAAAGTTCTTATCATTCTATTTTTACTGAACCTATCAAAATATTTAATTTTTGTATAACCAGAAACCAATATGTTGAGTCTAATTACAAAAACTTTTTGGATTATAAGATTTAGAAATAAACAGATAAATCCGCTCATTTGCATTACCTCTAATATTAATATTAATGTAATACGACTTATAAAAACTTTCATGGCCGATTTTGTTCCTATGCACAAATCATACAAGATTTATCCATCCATGTTGGCCTTTGAAAATTTTCACCGCTTAAAGCCATTCCACCGCTATCAGAACAGTCACGTTCCTACCTCGGGCTTGCATGTATAATTCTTATGCTGGTGCTTTCGTTCTATACCTACCATTTGGAGATTGCTTGTACATCAGCATAATTTCTGATTTTATCGCGATGGTATCTTTTCGATATTTATTAGATGTTATGGTCTTGTTAACTGATCATGCAATAAGACACATGTCTTTGTAGTGTCAAAGCTTCATATCTTAATCTGAAGTAAATTTATCATGTTCTATGACTAGCTTCAGAATACTACAATTTTATTAAGATACATCGACATAAGTTTCTAGATGCAATTTTCTAATAAAAGAGTTGAGTTGTAATTGGAGGATGAAATAATTGTTTAAAAGTTTGCATATTATGTATTATCCCATATGGTGTAACACAGTCATGAAACAAAGCTTATTCTCTTTGAATTATTTTCGTCACTAATTAACGCGGAAGAACCCATGATACTTCTTTTGCCCATCATCTTACACTTGTAATGAAATGATATTCTTCAATAGAGTTCTTATCATTGGATTGATCTTAAGCAAAAGAAATAATCAAAAAAGAGATTTGGAGGAAGAGCGGTGGTTCATCTGATAAACGAATTTAGAAAACCAACCTTTTTAATATTTTCATCTTTATAAAACTTATCTTCATTCTCAATATTCGTTATGGATGCTACCGCGAACCAACCTCTAAAAGAAACATTGTTGAATTGTAATGGAATAAACAAGAATGAATGGGTTAGTAATCTTTAAGAGTTATTGTTTTTAATATTAAGTGGTCATCAGAGAAGTTTTTTGTTATCATTATCGCCATCGATCTCTCTATGCATATAAAAAACTTTATCGTGATTATAACTAATTGTAAAGACATTCATTATACCACCAATATATCCATTACAGTTAATATGGACTCTCGAATGTCTTTTTTTCTCATTTTACTGGCGGAATTTCTTTTTTTATAATTAATGAATTAGTTGAAGTTTAAAGACTTGCTTAATTATTGAAAGGTTTCGCCAGGTGGCGTAACATGTCTAATGACGATCTTTCTTTAAAGTTATAATAAAAAAAGACAGATTCAACTCCAACAACGACAATTGGTTTAAAGTCCTTTCTCGCTAGAGGTTTAGTGATTTCGTTTGTGTGATTGTTGGATAGTTTTCTTTCTTTTTTTATTTTTATTTTTATTTTGAAACTAATTAACGTTCATTGTTTGTTACTTTTGACTTAATTAATATTAAGGTAGTGATTGTGAGTGAATATGAAGCTAAATATATATTTTTTAAAAATAAAAATGTTTAAAAGGTAGGATTGCAAACAGCTCCCAGAAGGAACTTATTAAAGGAATGACCGATGTAGTAAAACAAGGATGGACTGCATGGATTAATAATGATAATACTAATTAATAACATCAATCTTAATCATTATAGAATATACAGTCCATCACTTGCAGGGATAATCCCAACTTTGTTTTGAGTCTTTGAGTAATAATAAATTTATAATTAATCACATTTACAATATAGCTTTATAATCTTTGCAAGAAAATAGCCTACACATTGGTACTGAATCGTAAATCACAAGATTTAAGTACTGTCGAGATAATGGCTATCATCAGGACCAACAACTTTAGTGACGTTACCAGTGGAAAGAATTAAAGTGTTATTTACAAGTGCAAGGACAAACCACCTCGCAAAGGACCATTTGATGTAATTAAAAGCATTGTATCAGAAGAGAGATATCTCTAGCATTTATAGGGTGTAGATACCACCTTACTACGTGATTTACCTGGTTCTCTGCTTATTTTTGATGCTTATGAGTTGATTGACACCAGTTCATTAATCCGTTCGCTACTTTATTTGCTGGTGATAAAGTATTACTATTATTGTTGTTGTTGTATTTTATCTGCAATGCATATAATAAACAAAGAGAATTAATAACAATTGTGAAACATAACTCTAATTCCAAAAACGAGGTTTCTAATTGGAAACCAAAATCCAAAAATTTCTTTCTCATTTATAATTTGCATCAAGTACATATCAGTGGCGTAAAGGGGCAAGCCCCTAAATTAGTAACAACTTAAAAATATTAATATTACTAAAGTAGCTCATTAGGGTTACCCACTCAATCCTGGTACATACGTAAAAATTTAGGGACACAACAATATTTCTCCGTATATTTAGAAGTCCAGTGATTTCTAAGTATATGTATATAAAAGAATTAAAAGAAAAACTTAATAATAACAATTTTTGACCCCTAAATATTTTGCGTATCTGGTTGGGTCATATACGAAAATTCTTTTAACGAATATAAAAAGAGTGCAGCCATGAAATTAGGGGATTGTGTTAAATTTGATGAAGAATGAAAAGAAAGAGTTTTTTTTAGCTTTATTAGTAAAATAATTGAACAAATAGTAGAACTTTGAAATGTACAAGCTCGAGCAAAATCTTTTATAGGTTTATTTACAGTAATTCAATGAATAAGCTGACAGGGATTATTTTTTTCTTCGAATATCTTTTCCTTTTAAGGAACGTGTAAGTCTTCAAGTTTTGAGAGTTAAATAAAGAAATATTTAAAATTAGCCAACTTTTGAATAAATTTATTTCTGTATAAAATCTTCAAGTTTAAGAGTTAAACCATCATAAATGTTGTTGTTAATCTAGTAAAAATAAAGATCTAATAAAAATACTAAAATTTAACGAAAGAAAAGACAAGTTCAACGGGCTCGTATAACCAAAAAAAAAGAAAAATAATATTCCAATGACCATAATGATTGTAATATATACCTACCTACCTTGGTCCGGGACCCAACATGTGTACAAGGCCAGGCTCCAACTTTCAGGTCCCATTAATCTGCGAAAGAAATTAGATTAAAAGGGAAGGGAACACCTTTGTCTACAGACTTTGTTATTAGAGAAGAAATTGCAATTGCTATTGAATTAATCGGGAAATTTTTTAATCCCAAAAACCAAAAGAGATTAGTGAATTTTACCTATCAAAAATAATAATAACACAAGTTAGAATTAAATGCAGTCTGCCTGCAGAAGCTATTTTTTTTTTTTACTTATTTTTTAATTTTTATTATTTTTATTTTTCTTTAACAAAAAGAAAAGATTTTCAAAGAATAAAAACCACACACCCCTAATTCTTTTTTTACTAATAAAATTTTCTGTCAACTTATTCCTTGAATAAATCTATAAAAAGATTTTTTTTGCTCTATCTTGTTCGTTTACCAAGCCTCTATATACACCTTCAAAGTTCTCTCGTTCATAATAATAACCCCCCCTAATTTTATTTTGAATTACTGGATCTACATTGTCGATGTTACATCCCTGGTTATGCATGCGTGTATTTAATATTAATATTCATGTTATTGATGTTTGTGCGTGTTGTGCAAGTTTTGTAAGAATTTCTGTCCCTTCTTTTATTCTTTGTTTTTCATAATAGTAATTATTGTATTTATTATTTATAAAATATAAAAAAATAAAGAAAAATGTTTTGATTCATCCAAATAAGGGAATAAGTTGTCAACAATCACAAACCAAATTTTACAAATGTTTTTTTTGTTATAAATCAATAAAATATAATTTTTTTAAATTAACCAAATTTTTTATTTTATTGTTTTCTTTCCTTTTGATTAATTAAATTAAACAGAGAGGAAAGAAGATAATAAATATTAAATAAAAATTATTTTTTTCTTGATTAATCTCATCCGATTAACTCATTCGTATACCCTTAAAATCATTAACTCATCACCATCATACCTTAACAGTTTAATAAATACATAAATTGACTTTCATTTGATGAAATAATTTTTTTTAACGGAATTTTTTTTAAAAAATAATTTTTTTTCCAATTTCGACATCATTAAATACATTCTTTTGATTCTTTTGATTTATTTATTCTCGTTAATTTTATCATCATCTCAAACTCTTTTTATTAAAAAATAAAAAGGAAATTAATGTTGTTCATTCATTTAAAAAATAGAAATAAAAAACAAAAGGAAAGAAGAAATGAGTAAAACGTTCTCGTTAATTTGTAACAATAATACAAACCCTGTATGTGCCTGTGATTTCAGGTTGAATATTTATGGATGTCCCGAAGAATATATTTTAGTAAAATCTAATCAAATACTGATAGGATATTGCTTCCTATTAATATCGTGTTCAATAGCAAATCTTTATTATTTGATTGTCAAAAAAGATTACTCTTTCTTGTTGCAAAACCAAAAATATAGTGGTTACCTACGACTAAGACCTCAACATACTTATCACGGGATTGCCTTGGCTTATTTTAGTTGTAAGTAATAAATTTTAGAAAATATGAAATATTAAGGTTCGAAAATTATTTCTATTTTTAAAAATAATTATTTTCGAATTTTTTTTTTTTTTTTAGTTCAATCTATTCATTCTTTATTATTATTATACGATACTTATCCGACTATTTTTTGGGCAGAAAGTAAGTGTTTCCCGCCACATTTCCTTCAAATCATATTATAACTAATGTAATTAATTAATAATAAACTTTATATTTTTTTTTTAAAAAAAAAGTTGGATTTATATCGTCACGTGCATTATCAGCTTCATTGTCTATCTTATATCCAATAAGCATTGGTAATTATTATTATAAAATATTGTCATCAATACGGTCAAACCTTATCACAACGGGTCCATAAAAGAATTTCATTTAAAATCCGTTATAACTATAATCCGTTGTGACAAGGTTCGACCGTATTATTTGTTGTATTTATCGTTTGCACGAAATTAATTATTCTTTTATTTACATTCTTATTATCAGTTTATTCAACTTCAGCGTTTAAAGTTGGTACCAATTTTGGCAATAACACGCGTTCATCCTCAACATTAAGTCAAAGACATCAACAAGAGTACCAAAAATCGACTACTTCATCTTCTAGTTACAATAAATTATTGATAGATTTAGTATGTTTATTTATGATGATAATTCCAATTGTGGCCTTTATATCACTAGCAGGCATAACTGGTCACTATGCTGATAAAATGAATTTGGATATGGCCAATAAAGTTTTCACCATACACAATTTGATTTGGATAGTTTGGATTATTATATATGTCGTGATTATGTTGATAGTTTGGGTGAGATTTATTCGCATAGTCTGGGAAAACATGAATGAATTGATGGAAGGCAATAGAAATAGAAGTACCGAGTTACAAAGTAAATTGGTTCAATTGAGAAAAAGCAGTATAAATTTATCGTTGCCGGTGCTAGGACAAGTTGTTGTTGCAATTATTTATTTACCTGCGCACTTAATGTATGGATTATTTCAAAGGACAGACACGATATTTAATCATAATATAAATTTATTATATTTTTTCATTTGGAATTTCCTAATACCTGTTGTTGCGCACATCATTCAATGGATAATGACTTACAAGTAAGTGTTGTAAATCTATATCTAATAGCGTTCGAGCAATATTCAATATAATAATAATGATATTAAACCTAAATTTTCCCTTTTAATTTTTTTAGTGTATTAACAATGCCTTCGTCATCAACTAAAAAAACCTTCAATGATGATAATTCAACCAGTCATCATTCAACATCCTCGTCTTCCTTTACAATTAATAACAACGATGAAACTAACAACATTAATAACGATTTTTCTTTTTTTAATAAAGATAAAAAAGTCGAAACAATATCAATGGTTGAATTAACAAGAAATAACGTCGAAGAAGGATCAATTTCAATTTCTTTAGATTATAATAAATCAATTCTATCGAAATTACCATCTTGCTCCTCATTAAAATCTAATATCAACAACGGCAGATACAGTAAACGCCACCGCAATAATAATAGTTTCGATATTATTGATAATGTCAGTAATCTATCATCATCATGCCCTCTTCCTCATAGTAAATTTAATAAAAGATTGAGTTGGAATTCTAAATTTCATTATAGCAGTAATCGTCACAGTAAAAATAATGATGATTTAATAAATGAACATCAAGATGTGCCGTTAAGTCCCACTCCAACAATGATAAACCAACGGTTACCTTCAATGCCTACATCTCCAATAAGAAATATCAACTATAGATATTCAACACAAACTAATTTATCTGATTCAACTACACTACCAAACACGCCAACCACTCCGAAAATGCCAAAATCGTTTTATAAAACAAGAACATCAACAATTGAATTTGGAGTGGAGGAGGTGGAAGAAGAAGAAGAAGAAGAAGAAGAAGAAGAAAATAATGATGGTGACGGTGATAGTATTATTCATTATCGTCGTAAGTCATGGTTAACCGAAAAACCAAGCTTCTATAATGACCAGGAATAGATTAAGAGAAAGTTTGGAAGTGGCGGTATATCACTCACATTACATTATCATAATAATATTCACATTCATCATCATAATATAAATAATCAAGATTAGATAACATATAATTTATTGTTTATTTCTTATTATTTATCATTTTGTAGATTTTTTTAGAATTTTTAGAAAAATATTTTTTTAACTATTATTTATCTTTTTATTTATTAATATATAGATTAAAAATAATAATTACCCACACACATTCATTAATTTGTATATATTAATATAATAAATAGCAATTCATTTTTATGCATAACATATATTATAATATGGATTAGTATTAATACTTTTTTTCGAGAGAAAAAAAATCACGTTGATATACCGACTGTTATATAATTATTATTCAATTAAAAATAAATATTATAAATAATTTATTTAATGTTTTAAATTTCTTCGACAATTTTAACTTTATTTGTCGTAATAATTTCTTTAATAATTCCACATCCCCATTCAACCAACTCTTTTTCACTTTGATCCTCTAAAATTTCGCCTTTTTTCACAAAATTAGACAAAAAAAACATTATACCTTTTGCCAATGATGGATTTGATATGGATTTGATAAAAATGTTTCCCAATACTTTGACATTATGTTTTTTGTTATGGTCATTATTTTGTTGTGAAAATATGACTATTTGAGAAAATAATAATTGGAAAAATATTATTGTTCTTTGTTTTAAACTTGTGAATGATACAGTCTATTAAAAAATTTATAAAAAAAAAACTATCAATAAATTATTTAAGGTAGTAGATAATTCAGTATAAAATATTTTTAATACCTTTAAAATCATTATAGATAAATTCCCTCCTGATATTAAGAATGCATAAAGCTTACTATAATTTACCAATTTTCTTAATGGAACTTTTTCCGTAGATTCACTTTCTTTATTTAATAGTGAACTTTTTATAAGTCCCAAACCACCAACATTGTTTTCACCACATTCTCTAAGAAAATCCCAAAGACAATATTGAAAAGTAATCTTGAAACTATGGTCTGATTTACATAGACGCCTTGCTATAAGTGAATAATATGGATTATATGTTTTTTCCTATATATGTATCATTATAATTGTCATTATTATGATGAAAAGGAAAAAGAGGAAGAAAAAAAGAAGATAATGATCAACATTAAGCTAATATTATTAATGAGAAAAGAAAATTTCTTTAAACTTACATTACCGCAACAATAAAGTAGAATTCTTGGTATTTCTCTTTTATGGGATTCTTTCTGATTAAATTTCATCAATCTTTCATATGCGTCTATATAATCCTAAATCGTCGAGAGAAATAAAAGGACGATAATGTTTTATGATTTATGAATTAATAAATATGTTAATAATTTTAAAACATATAATATCATTTATAACATTTCTACTTATTTAAAAAAATTTTTTTTTTAACCTCACTACTCATCAATATCACAAAAATGCCTTTTCTAACTTCAGTGTTCATTTTATGTTGTTCAGCAAGTTTGAAAAATTCCTTATTGAAAGAATCGTCACTTTTTGTATCATTTTTCTTAATCGTTGATGTTGAGGTGGAAGGATCATCTACTAAATTTGCTGTCCAAGAAGATCCAACAAGCCACCATTTTCCTAAACTCAAGTAACATTCAAATAAAAAAACATTGTTATTAATATGGTATAATAATTATAATCTGAAACTTAAATTTTTGATATATATTTTTATTTATATTATAATTCTTCATTATACCTTTTGTTTCAACTGATTGAATATCTTCTAGACTAACCCTTAATGGTTCAGTTGCTTGGACTTTAAAATCATAAGTCATTTTAATAAAAAATAGTAATTATATATATAAAAATATTATTATTGTATTAATAAGTATTATTAATCACCATGCATTTTTTTGTTTAAATTAGCCAAAAACTTTTTCATTCTTAAAACACTTTCCACATTTGAAATTGCCGTTTGTTGTTTTAATCTGTTATTTTTTAATTCTGTAATCTTTTCTATCATAAATTTCGTTCTAGATCTATACCAATGTATTTGTAATATTAAATTATTAATAAATAATTAAAGCTTTAAGAAATTGCATTAAAAAATATAATATCATCATCATAACTACCCTAACTTTTTTAAATCTTTTTTGTTAACCTCAGCTTGTACTTGTTGAATTATTTCTTTTAACGCTAAAGGATCATCTTGTCGAAGTTGATATCCAGAACCTAAATATTCGTTTGTATTAATTATTAATTAACTTGTCACTAAATATTTAAATAAAAATTAATTACATACTCTTAATAAATTTTAATAATAACTCTACATTAAGTTCATTTATATTTGATATAAACATCTTGATCAAATCATATACCAACACACAAGAGATAACTTGAAAGTTATAGAGTTCCGAAGTTAATACAATCAAGTTTAAGCATTCTTTACCACCTTGATTTTCAAGGTCTTGAAAATTATTTAAATCATTATTATTGTATTTTTTATAAAAATTTTCGAATTCTTCAATTAAATTTTGAACTAAATGCGCGCCTAAAAAAAAAAAAAATACAAATACAATATGCAAATATAGTTAATAAATTATGTTAGATATATTTCTTTATACTTTCTTCTTAAACTTACAGAAATCTATCCCAATTATTTTATATAATGAAGCAATCAATGTAGCATAAACTATTACAAATTGATCCAATAAAGTAGATTTTGATGATATTGTATTTAAAATAAGATTTGTAAGATTTGAATTTACATCTAAAATAATTTAAAAAAAATTTTTAATCATAATAATTATAATTGTATAAAAATCATCAAAAATTTTTATTTATAATAATTACCATGACGAGTATACTTTTTATATAATTCTTCTATATTTATAACAATACTCTCAATATTAGATTCACTTAATCTTTTTTGTTTTTTTTGTTTAAGAAAAAAGTAAGAGATTTATTATATATAATTAAAACTAATTATTATTATTATTATTATTAATATTACCTGTTTAAAAGACCTTGTAATTGTTTTTGTAATTTAATTTGTTTTTCTTGTTTGGCCTTTTCAGTTTCTGATATAACCGATGTTATATCTTTATTGCGAAGTTGTGGTGGTATATATTTAGACATTATTAAAAATTTTTAAATTCGATAATGAGTGATCTCTAATTGGTTAGTTTCATCTCATCTTTCTAACGTTACACTATCATTGCTCTGCTGCCATCAGCCCAGACATATCCTGCCACAATTAAAATGGCAGCAAAGAGCATAGTGGAAATTTGAAATGTTACACTAATTTTTTATATTGTGCAACGTAGCTTTACAATACATGGCAAACATTCTGGCAATAAAAAGTAAGTGATAAACTGGATTTGAATTGGATCTGAACTTGTTCACCAATTTAGAGAGGTAATAACTATATACTGGAGAAGTTTCAGAAGCAATGAGTTCTGTATAACGTTTCGTGTAACAACAAACTTCCACTATGCTGCAGCAAAGAGGTCAGTAACTCTCCTTATAAACCGGCTCAGGGCTTTTCCTATAAGTATTTGTGTGCAAAAAATGTTCTTTATGTTACATGCAAGCATTAACATCTTGATTCAAATGCATCAGACAGACTGATTTGTAGACTCTGACAGACCAGAATTTTTGATGCTTATCAAACTACCCATCAGACAAAGAACAGACTGAGGATATAGAGAACTCGTCAATGTTCCCCACCTTGCAGTGTTTAGAAAGCTCTCAAAATCAAGGATTGTATCAAGGTAAAATAGAATGTAGAACCATACCATATTCAGACATTTTTGATTGGGAAATTTTTTCTCAAATCTGTCGTCAAGGTGCAGTAAGTTGCAGGATTAGGTGCCTTGCACTATAAATAAAAAAATTTATGCATATATTAATATGCAAATAAATAATAATACAGTCAGGAAGGATTATTACCAAATTTGGAAATTGAATATACTCCTTTGTCGATCAATTCATATGTGTGGCGAACGAGTTAACGTGATACTTTGCTGCCTTTTAAAAATCTTTTTTTTTTTAAAAATTATAATAATAATAATCAAAATAAACAGTATTGAACTTGCTTTTTCATAATCTACTAAAAATCTACAAAAACCTATTAATTTGTTCAAAGAAAGCCTTTACATAAATTTAAAGAAATTTAAGCACTGGGAGTTTTAAATTTTAAGTTTTTTTTTCTCTTTGAACTTTAGTGGTAAAACATCAAGATCAATTGCACCTGCTGCACTGAGAAATATTCAAAGAATCATTTGAGATAAATATGTTAAATGAAATAGGGAATAAAGTAAAGATTGTTTAAAACTATTTGTTAAATATTTATTCAAAATATGCTTTTACAAAATGATGTAACAAATTCTCAATAATTTATTCATATTTTTATAGTTCCAATCATATTAGAATTATTTACAAGTGATGATGAAAACAATTATAATAATGAATTAATGATAAGCAGGTAAAGAAGTAATATATATATATAATTTGGCATAGACTTTATTTATACCAAAAAGTTTACAAATTAATTTATAATTATAATATATTTCATGATACTAGTTATTAATTTTATTAATTTTATTAATTTTAATAACAAGATTCTTGATGTGACAGGTTGATAACTCAAACATTTCATCAGTATATTTAACCATTATAAAAAAAGCTATTGAATTTTTATGGTAATTTTATGATTATGATTTGAAGCTATTGATTATTTTTTGATAGACTCATAAAGCAGCTAAAAATAAACATAATACACAAATTTTGGAGCTTATATGACCATTTAATAAAGCCTTCACCATGTTTTCTTCTTCAAAGATCTGCATAAAATTTGCCAATCATTTTTGTTTTTTTTTCTAAAGATTTCTAGATTGTATATCCTTACAGTATTTGGAAATTCCATATTAGTAATAATCCTGACTGTAATAATTATTATTTGTCAATCACATCCAAATACAATACAATTTCTTAAATAGGAATAAACACACCGGTCTTGGGGAAATTCTTGCACCTAGTAAAAAAAAATGAATGAAGGTATTTTTTTTTTACACAGAAAATAATTATTTTAAAAATATGTAGTATTTTTTACATCATGGTTTAATATTTTGCTTTGTAATAAAATAATAGCTAAATTCTATAAAGGTAAATAAATATTTTACAACACAAAATAAACATCATCTAATTAAATAATTTG